TGTTTGGGAGAAGGATAAACTCCCTTGCACCCATTGAAATATCCGAGTTTATTTGGCTGAGTTAGTTATATTTCATTTGTGACAATAAAAAGTATCATAGACCACTCCTATTTCTGGCATCTATATAGAAGAGGCGTGGGGGCCGTGCACAAGCCCCTTGAAGATAAACAAATTTATTCAAGCATGAGTTTTCATGGCTTGCAGTCCCTTTCTTCTTCAGACACATGGACTAATTATCAGGCACATGATCATGCATATGGTGACATAGAATGACACCTCATCAATTAGCTACAGCATCCTTTACAGAGGGACGTGGTGGTGCTGTGGGTTAAACCGCAGAAGCCTCTGGGTTGCAAGGTCAGAAGTCCAGCAGTTGTAAGATCGAATCCACGCAACGGAGTGAACTCCCGTCGCTTGTCCCAGCTCCCGCCAACCTAGCCGTTCGAAAGCATGCAAATGTGAGTAATAAAGAGGGACCACCTCAGTGGAAAGGTAACGGCGTTCGGTGTCTAGTCGCAATGGCCATGTGACCACGGAAGATTGTCTATGGACAAGGCTGGCTCTATGGCTTGGAAACAGGGATGAGCACCACCCCCTAGAGTCGGACATAACTGGACTAAATGTCAAGGGGAACCTTTAACCTTTACCTAAGCCACATTTGGGCACTGCAACCAATATGCTTGAGTCACTTTTGAAATATGTTCAGAGTTTCAGAAATGAGTTTCAAGACATGGAAAAAACAGCTAAAACTATCCTGACTGATTGTGAGTATGAAAGCTGTAATAGAAAGTACAAAACTTTTTTTTTTGATGGGGCCAGGACTGAAGATGTTGTTCTAGATCAGAGGTCTCCAAACTTTTCTCACAAAGGGCCACATAATATATTTTTGATATTTTTGAAGGGCTGAAGGAACACGTGCAAATGTGCATCGCACAGACAGGCATACATACACACTCCTGCCCACCCAGTCACTCACATACACGCCCACACACCCGTACTCTCACCCATACGCCCGCCCGCACACCTGCCTGCATGCCCATCCACACTCCCACTCACCTGTACGCAGGCACACACTCATGCCCACCCACCCACGTGTGCACATGTATAGGACAGATAAAAAGGCCAGGCGGGCCAGATGTGGCCCATGGGCTGTATTTCGGAGACCCGTGTTCTAGAAAGTTTCAAGTTCAAATTTATAATTTTTGACAAACTTGTCAATTATCTGCATGAAAGAGGAAACAATATTCTTCAGTAAACAGCAAGTTTGCCTTTTTGAATGACTTGGCTTTCATATCAGTTCAACAATTAAGAAAACATGCATTTACTCTACAACAAGCTTATTAGGATGATTTGGAAAACATATTTACAGATGAAGTTGTTGCTTTCCAGATTTTACTACAAGGATGCCTTTCCCAGAATCATCAGCAGCAAAAAGGACAAATATTCTCCAAATAGTCCATACTGTAGCAAATTCTTGCAATAAAGAAACATCATTTCAGTCTACCCAAATGTCAGTATAGCCTTTTGTCTCCATCTGATATCACAGGTCTCTGTGGCTGAAGGAAAGCGTTCCTTTTTGAAACTAAAGCTTATAGTCAGTATTATGCTCTTCAATGCAAGAATAACGCCTTAGCAGATTAACTAATATCAACTGAGACTGATATTTTGAAGCAAATTGAGTTTGAAGACAACATTAGTGAAAATGGGAAGCAAGAAAAGCTATGTAAAAATGTTTTCTAATTGAAACCTCCTAATGCTGCCTTTAAACTATTTGTGGCAAGATCAGCCCTATCCAAAACAATCCTCCCTGCACCTTGTGCAGTGCACTTTTCTGCCTAATTTATCCAGATTGCTTGGATGTGATTGGGGATACCTGTTGGATCCCAATTACATTCTGAGTGGCAAATGGAGGTATCCAAAGTGTTTATTTTGGCACTGTAATAGGAGGTAGCACTTTAGCCCTTTGGCACCAAGACTCTTACTTTTGCAGGTTTTTCTTTGGATACACTTTTTGTTTTCTAGTACTGAAGGTTACAAGCTAGACTTTCTTTTCATTGTTATGTTGTTTGTTTACCTAAGCATTTTACTACTAACAAGATAACCTACTGAGTTAGTCTTGTTTATGTTATATTACATTGTTCATTTTGTGTGACCTATTTAGGTGGGATGTAAGGGAAAGGGAGGGAGGAGGAAGGAGGGGACACTATTATATTTTTTGCACAGGACTCACCTGAGCTTTGAATTGGTCCTCACTCCCCTGTCCAGTTCCTGGCATAGATCATCCACTAAGGCAACCAAAGTGTTCTTTGCCCGATAACCAGGTCTGAAGCCAGAATGAAATGGATCTACATAATCACAGAACTGCAGAGCTGAAAGTGACCCTATGGATCATCAAGTCCAGCTGCTGTCAAGGAGGCACAGTGCGGAATCAAACTCTCAGCCTCTGGCTCCACAGCCAGATGCTTAAGCCACTGAGCTATCTAGCACTTCACAGAATCTTCAGATTCTGGACTACAAGTCCCTTCATCCCTCATCATTAGCTATGTTGAATATGGCTGACGGGTGCGGCAGAGCAAAACAAATGAACAACTTCCAGTTGGCCAGACCTGCTGCCATAATAAACTTGATTTTCAGATAAATACCATACTAGTCTTCTTATAAACAACGTATTTATTTGCCCTGGTGGAGGAAAATCATGCAATTTTTGAGGGGCTGTAGTTTGCTCAGTGATTTAGGTATCTGTTTGCGGAGCCAGAGACTGATAGTTGAATTCTCCACTGTGCCTCTTGCAATAAGAGCCAGCCTGTGTGGCCTTGGGCAAGCTGCACAGTTCCAGGATGACCTCAGAAGAAGACAACTGTAAACCACTTCTGTGTATTTGCTACTTTGAAAACCCTAGGCAGGGTTGCCATAAGTCAGAACTCACTTGACAACACACATTGCATAATACTTAAAGCCATATCAATCTGTAGAACCTACCGGAACGCTTGTTTTGCAGGCATAGTGTTTGACAACCCAGACTCAACTCCATGCCACAAATAAATGGCAGACTAGGACTTCAGGGAAGACTCTTTCATTCATCTATCATCATCATCACCTTTATTAGCATAAAAACATACAGCAAATAGCAGTCTTCAAAGAGATGGGGGATATATACCCCACACAAAACAAATCAAAAAGCCTCAATTCAAGCAGAATATAGCAGTATACAGTTAGTTTCAACGTAATACCTAGCTATTGTTCATAATCTGTAATTTATACAAAAAGGAATAATTGTATCCAATAAGATTAGGCAGGTGGGTTTGTTGAAAATTGATTTCTATGGCACTGAGTGGGTTTTATTCATACTGAGCAGAAGAACATACAAGATTGCCTCCTCTGCCTGTCCAGTAAAACTAACAAGGATTGATTCCAGATTTGAAGAGCAAATGTACATAGAACAGTAGAGAAGCATGTGCTCCAGGGACTCTATGGACCCCGAGTTACAAGGGCAGAGCCGTGTTTCCAGAGCTTGCGAATTAAATCTACCATATAGGACGAAAGTACAGTAATACAGTGAATGCTCACTGTTTATGTTGGCTCTCTATAAGATGTAAATAGCAGGCTGATTTATAGATTTATAATGACACTTGTAGATTTAAAGGTGAATATACTTTGCAGGCTGCCACAAAGAGTTCTTGCCTTTCGATATCCAAGAGTCTCTCTTTGATAAGTCTACAAGACTGAGCAAAAGGTAGAACAGACTCAGTCATTCACCTATCTATCAAAGAGTTTGGGAGGGTGGAATTAATGTAAAACATTTTTACCAAGCTCTATAGTTAAAAACAGTTTGCAGTGTGTTAAGAGGCAAGAAATTCCTTGGATTCAGATTTACAATCTATTCTAGAAGACAGGGCCGCCAGTATACCAGTATAGTGTAGAGCAGTGGTTCTTAACCTTGGGTTACTCAGGTGTTTTTGAACTGCAACTCCCAGAAACCCCAGCCAGCGCGGCTGGTGGAGTTGCAGTCCAAAAACACCTGAGTAACGCAAGGTTAAGAAACACTGGTGTAGAGGGATGAACAGGGAATTTTTTAGCCCCCCCCACATCATAAAGTTCATTAGGTACCTCTGAACTTCTCATTCTTCTAGGGCTGACTCACCTCACAAGGTTGTTTTGAGGATGACGTGGAGAAGAGGAGAACTAAGAACAGACCTGGTCAAAGTGCAGCCACATATGGCCCGCAATCCGCTCCTCTCCGGCCGGCGGACAGTTTTGAACATCAAAACAATTTATAGCTTTTTGTCTAAAGTTGATCAGTTGATTATCTTTAACATACCGCAAAAAACCTCTTTACTATTGGTGAAGATTAACAAGTTTAAAATAAAAACAATCATAACATCACCGTTTCATTTTATTTTTTAAGTAAAGTTTGTTCGGCCCCTGAACAGAGTTCAGATTTTTCATGTGCCCCCCCCATAGAAATTAACTGCCCACCCCTGACTAAGAACATCGCTGCGATGGAGGAAAGAGGAATAAATGTAGGTAACAAATAAAGAAGACACTCAAGGAAATAAAAGAGCGAGAGCTGAGAGGGGAAAAGGCTGAGTCACAAAAGCCTTAAAGTTGCAAATACTGCATAACTCGTCGGAGGAATCACTCCCAAAATCAACGTAGTATATAGCAATTTTCTATGTAGTTCCAGCCACCCTACCTAAACTCGGGCACGCTTCTCCGCTCCTTCCTTCCTTCTAACTTCCGACCTGACTCTGCCCCGCCCCCTCTTCAAAGTTCCGCCTATCAGAAACGATCTCTAGGAAAATACGGGCGGGGCTCCGGGGCCAAGCTTTGCTGCGCTTTGCGCATGCGGACTTAATCTGACCCCCCTTTTTTTTTAAGCATTCCCCCTCCTCCCCCGCCACTTTTGGTGCGCCCGCCTTCCCCTGGCTCCTCCCCCCCGTCCTGTCTCATGGCGTTCTAACCGGGCGCGCCCGCCGGCTTCACGCGGTCGCTGGAGTTCCTGCGCTTCGTTCGGGCCTCCTAAGGTCGCCACGGGCGAAGGGATCTTTTCCTGGCTCCTCTCTTGCTCCCTCCCGTTGGGTGCTGCCTGTGAGTATTGTGTATCCGCGCGTGCACCGCGGATAGGCTTCGGCGGGAGGATTGGTGCGTGAGGATAGAAAGCAGGCACCGGTGCAGCGTGGAGGGGGATGGGTTGGAGTGGGGAACTGAGGAGTTTGGGGCCTGGCTGCAGGAGGAGGGAAGGGGCCAGCAAAGGATGGGGCATCGGCTGGCGCCTAGGGAAGGGGCCAAATTGTTGCCGTCCCCCTTTCCTTTGTTTCCAAACTGTGTAGTCTGGGGCTGGCCATTTAGGCTGAGGGGAAAAGAAGAAGGGGTCGCCTCATTTCCCCCAAAGTCCGTGGCAGGCGGCCCCCTGGCTGGCTACGTACAGTGTGGGTCTCTTACTGTGCCCCTCTCATCCCACCCATCCCCATTTGTGGGTTTCCCACGTTCTGGGTCTCCCCATTGATTGAACAAGTTGCCACGTGGGCTTTGACAGTTGAGTCGAAGTAGACCCGTTGCTTTGACTGGACACCTTGAAATGAATGAGACGTTTAAGTAAAGAGATAGGGGTCGTCTCTTTACATTTCTTCCTGGGGAGCTCTTTTTTTGTCGTAGCTTCCTCTTTCTCCGGATTTTCCTCCCTTGTCTCTTGTATATCACAGTTTGGACACATGTCTGCATTCATACTGACCATTGGGCTGCATTTACTTTAAATCCGCTGATACTGATGGGACTGAGGATAAGCTAATCAATAGTCTGGTCTCTGAGGAAAAGAAAGTGCCATTCTTCCACTGCTCCTCAGTGTGTGGCTTTACTTCCCAGTGGTGTAGTAAGAGCTATGGCTCACAGAGTCAAAGCTGGATGATGAAATCATTCACAATCCCTTCAGGCTACCCCATTTACTCTGAACTTACCTGCAGTCCTGTCAGTAGCTGGGACAGTAAGGTATCTTTCCATGAAAGCTCATATTAAAAAATAATAGTCTTTAAGGTGCCACGTGTTCTTGTCTTTTCTTTAATTTTTTCCCCTTTGGATTTTGCTTGATATTCCAGATAATAGAATCTTGTCAAAGGCTATTGCTGCAGTAATGCAAAGTATTTGAAAATAGTCTGGTCTTAAATGGGCAATGCCTAAGCGCTGTTAGGGTTATAACTTTCTGCCATCAGAGTGGTATCATCTGCATATAGGAGGTTAATTCCAGCTTGGGATTCCTCCAGTTCTGCCTTTTGCACGATGTTTTCTGCATATAAGTTAAGTAAGCAGGGAGACAATATACAGCCTTGCTGTACTCCTTTCCAAATTTTGAATCAATCAGTTGTTCCATATCCAGTTCTAACTGTTTCTTCCTGCCCCACATATATATTTCTCAGGAGATAATGTGGTAAGGCACTCCCATTTCTTTAACAACTTGTCGTAGTTAGTTGTGATCCACACCGTCAAATGCTTTTGCGTAGTCAATGAAGCAGAAGGAGATGTTTTTCTGGAACTCTCTGGCTTTCACCTTAATCCAGCACATGTTAGCAATTTGGTCTCTAGTTCCTCTGCTCCTTCAAAATCCTGCTTGTACTTCTGGGAGTTCTCAGTCCAAATACTGCTGAAGCCTACCTTGGAGGATTTAGAGCATAACCTTGCTACCGTGTGAAATGAATGCAATTGTACGGTAGTTGGAACATTCTTTGGCACTTCCCTTCTTTGGGATTGGGATGTAGACTGATCTTTTCCAGTACTCTGGCCACTGTTTAATTTTCCATACTTGCTGGCATATTGAATGTAGCACCTTAACAGTGCACCTTAAAATCTTTTAAGATTTTAAATAGTTCAGCTGGAATGCCATCACCTCCACTGGCTTTGTTGTTAGCAATGCTTTCTAAGGCCCACTTGACTTCACTCTCCAGGATGTCTGGCTCAAGGTCAGCAGCCACACTATCTGGGTTGTCTGGGTGCTGCATGTGTTGCTTTCAAACTAACAGCATTTGGGCCAAAGTTTCACGAATTGACTATCTGGATTGTCCGGGACATCCAGATCTTTCTGGTATAATTCCTCTGTGTATTTTTGCCACCTCTTCTTGATATCTTCTGCTTCTGTGAGGTCTGTACCATTTTTGTCCTTTGTCATTTCCATCTTTGCACAAAATGTTCCTTTAATATCTCCAATTTTCTTGACCAGATCTCTGGTTTTTCCCTTTCTATTATTTTCCTCAATATCTTTGCACTCTTCATTTAAGAAGGCCGTCTTGTCTGTCCTTGCTATTTTTTGGAAGTCAGCATTCAATTTTATGTCACTTACTTTAGTGTTCCAATCCTCTATAATGAAAAGAACATCTTTCTTTAGTGTCAGTTCTAGAAGGTGTTGTAAGTCTTCATAGAAATGGTCAGTTTCAGCCTCTTCAGCATTGGTGGTTGTGCATAAACTTGGATTACTGTCATGTTGAAAGGTCTGCCTTGGATTCGTATTGAAATCATTCTATCATTTTTGAGATTGTATCCCAGTACAGCTTTTCCCACTCTTTTGTTGACTATGAGGGCTACTCCATTTCTTCTACAGGATTCTTGCCCGCAATAGTAGATATGATAATCGTCTGAATTGAATTCGCCCATTCCCATCCATTTTAGTTCCCTGACTCCCAGGATGTCAATGTTTATTCTTCCCATCTCCTGTTTGACCACATCCAGCTTACCAAGGTTCATAGATCTTACATTCCAGGTTTCTATGCAGTATTTTTCTTTG